AAAGTTGCAAGTCACCACCAATACCACCCCTGAACTGTCAAAGGAAGAAATGAAAATTAAGAATCAACAAACAAAGAAGAGTAAAATGCATGCAAAAATTCAGTCTAAAATAGGCAAACATAATAAACAAAACGAAAAAGTAGACGAATGACGATCACAATTGAAATCGAATTCTTTTTTCGTTATTTTTTATTTATTTCTCTTTTCTTTATTTCGGTGGAACATTTTTTGAATATTAAATTTATTTTTTTTTTCGAAATTTCAAGGTCGATATTACGTGAGAGAAATGAAATGGTGTAACAAAACGAATATGAATATATAGAGGCTGGTTTTTATGTACACAATGTTTGTCGACTGTGTGTTTATTAACATCAGTGCGAGTTTATGAAAGGTCTCTTTTTATTGCTACATATTCATAGCTGTGTATCACTGACATATTCCATTTTTTATGTGCGCACATGTATATGTATATAGAAATGTCTATTAGAAAGCCAAAAAAGCTCTCACATTTCGATTACTGTCACATGTTTATGTCTTCCCATATATTGGAGCACTTGGTCAATATGGTTGTGAATTTTTTTGAAAAAGAAACATATGATATGATATGAGGAGAATGTTCATTCATTTCTATAGCGAATCTTCTTTTTCTTCCTGATACTTTTATGACTTTTGTAATTGTAGGGAACTCATTGATGTTTTTTTTTGAATGGGAACAAATGTGTTTTTTGCTTGGCATGGAAGAAATTTAATGGATTGAGTGAATATTTTGACAGAAAGGGTAGGATTGGATGAATTATTGGGATCTTAGACATCATTTCTTATACGGAGTGGATGCAATAATATTTTGGAAATTATTCGTGTATACAAATGCGACCTTTAGATTTCATTGTCCATATTTAAGACTTCCATAAGAGATCTGAAGTAGATAAAATAAAGCTCATAGGTTTTTTTGTAAGCCAAAATCAAGACTGTCATCATAGATGTGAATTGGATCCAATTATAAGCTGTTGAACTAGGTTTGAGTGCTATGGTAAAGAGAAACTCTCGTTAAACTGACATTAAATGTGTTCTTGTTTCTTGGCAAGCTAAAACCTAATTCAATACCTAATATTGTGGCAACAAGGGGGTCTCTGGAAAGAGGAATGTTCCTGACATTGGTTTTAAATTCAAAATAGAACAACGCGAAAACCTATTAAACTCCAATAGTCTAATCAGAATGTATACTCTGAAATATATGGATTCTTAGCCATTGATCATTATCCCTACAACTTGAGTCATGGTAAAAATAGCAAATTCCATTCCACGAAATGCCACATTAAAATAATTTTTGAAAAGAAATTTCAATCATCAAAAAAAAAGTTTCACCCATCATAAATTCAAAGCCATAAACACACGAAAGACTTGAGCATCAATGAATCACTTTTTCCATAGAAAAAAAACCCGAATTCTCCCGAAATAAAGCCAACATTAATACACCCTATTACAATAACTTCGCTCGCATAATTGTGTACTTATATTTCCCTCAAAAAAAAAAAAACTGTTTGAAGAGAAGAGAAAAAGTTCTTCGAATATTTTGAGGAAGCATGTATATCTCCAGAAAATATTATAAGTGTAAGACTATAAATTATTATTATTTTCTTGTTATTTCATTACTTACTTACAAGAAACAGTGATAAACTTTTGTCATGGGTGTTTACTTTATGTGTTTCATATTATTAGTATTTATTTTCCTCTTTTACATAACTATTTGCTACTTACATATTTAATTGTAAACTTGAATTTTTTTTTCATTCCTCTTTCCTCAAGTTAATCAAATGCTGATAGACGAAAATATAAAGAAAAAAAAAACTTTTCAGGAAATCGATCTTGTGACGCGAATTGAATTAAATTACTGCGTGTCTATGCTCTTTTTATAGTCTTTATATTATTTTGCAGTGTAATATGCAAATGGGCAAGGTTTGATATTTTTCTATATATCCAAATAATTTGAGATTTTAAAATTAAAAGAATTAAAAAATTGTTCATTATTTAAATGACGAAGTAAGTTGATTCTTTGCTCCGTCAGGCATTTTATGGGCTAGGGAAACTTTTATTATCGTGTGCGGAAAATGTGGATATTGTTTCTTGCGAAATGGCAAAAAAAAATTAAGCTGCTCATAATCCATTCATTGGTGTTCGATTGTTTTGCGGTGCCTTTTCGCCATTAGCGACAAACGCGATATTTAAAGACAAATACAATTTCTCACATTTCTTTACTATAATAGAAAGAAAATACGACGTAGAAGAGAAATAAAAGTAAAAAGTGAATCTTAAATGTTGTTGTTTTTTTGTTATTTTCGTCGGTATGAGAAACAGCAAAAAAAGAAGTTGACGTCATCTTTCAATGACTTAAACAGAAATTTGCCATTAAGAAAAATTCTTAATAATTTTTCTCTTTTATTCTTTTCTTCACATTTCGCTTCAGTGAAATGCTTCACACTTATTTATTCTTTGAGATCATTTTCATTGTTTAGGGCTTCTAAGTAGAAGTTATGATTCATCACTTAACACATCCTGTAAATCGCGTGGAAGATCAAAATTTTATTGAGTCATAATCTTTGATTGTCTTGACCAATCGAAAGAAAAGTTTCGTGCCAGACAGGTGATAAGAATTGACGTATGATATTTTCATGGATGTGGTAAAGTTATTTTGTTGTTCGGGTTGATGCTGACGTTCTTGCTGTTCAGATTGAATTTGATTTTTTAGGGGAATTTTAAAATGATTTTCTTGTCAATTCTACAGCAATTCTTAGTGTAATATCTGGATGAGCTTGATTTTACCGGCTATATTAGCCTGGTGCTAGATTGAAGTCACTGTTTTGTACTGTTTTAACGTTGTGAGTTCCAGATAATGTTTGTGTGCCTTTTGATCAGTTGAGAACGACCTAAGCTTAGCTATGGGCACTGGTATTCTTTGGGGATTTAAAAAAGTTTGATCAGTTCGGAATGTTAAGGAATATTACAAATCCAATCCACGAGATCTTCGAAAATATAGAATCCAAGTTGACAGCTTAAAGCACAACAAATTCTTAAAAACTTCAACAAGTCCCCAATTACAAGTATGCCAACATATCAAAAAAACCATAAAAATTTTCAAAATAATTTTACAACACTTTCTGATACAATGGACAAATTATATAGCGATAACAATTATTATCATAATATACAAAAGTCATTGAATGTGAACGATTATTGAGATATAATGGGAAAAAATTGTTAGTCACATGTGAAATTTTTATGAGTCTCAATTGATAATCAAATGCTTGAATCACTTTTTTTGGTGATGAGTTGCAAAATTTAAATGTATTTAGAGAGTAATGCTTATGCTATCTTTCACAGGATGTGGTTTTGGAAAAAACTCAAAATTCGGAGTCATTTTTGATATGTTTTATAGTTTATTTGGAATAAGTTCTTAAGGGAGATTGAAGCAACCAGCGAGAGATGTTGATCGGGAACTCATCTCATACTCTATCAAATTTTGAGTATTTACGTGGATCATCTGACTAAATCTGTGATTAAATTTTATTTCTTTTGTTGAATTAGAAACCTTGCTGGTCATGAATAACAATTATTAGAAATTGCTGATCATAAATTGCCAAATTTCTCTTTTTGGATCAAACAATTTGATTTTTACAGCATCAATGAAGCCACCATGAAATTCCAATCATACAAAATAATTGAATTGTATCTATCAACCTTGATAATTCATTTCTCTAATTTTCAAGGTCCACACGAGCGAACACAAAAAGCGAAGCTAATTCCATTGCATAAAAAAATTTCTTACGAGACATTGGAACCTCCAAACCCAATGCTAGCAAACAGAAATTTTTGAGTTCTTATTATTCGAACTTCGAATTTTCGAGGTTCTTATTTTTCGAAAATCGAATCTTCGAAGTTCTTATTTTTAAAAAAATTCGTTGTGAATTATTATTTTTCGAGTAATTTGTAATTTTAGTGAACATTCTTACTAGTTTTTATGATTAAGATAATCACTGTGATGAAATTGCATTCCTTAAATGTTTATGCTTTAAAAAACACCTAGTTTAAAAAAAATAAAAAGTAACAAACTTTCTTATTTTGAAATTTTAAAAAATACCGCGCGAAAATTTTGAATTTTTTTGTTTGTAACGGACTCTGTTCTCTTTGCTAACATTGGCTCCAAACTTCATCTTCCCATAAAAGCAATGAGCGATGATCTTTTTGATGAATTTTTATGCAAAAAAAAGAAAGAGATCATACATCCAAACACGACTTATGGGTTTGTTGAAGTTGTTGTTTTTTTACGAGGTGATTATTGATGGATTTACAGCACTGTCCCACATCTCTTTAGTTCTCTTCCTTTCTACTCGTAATCGTAATCGTTAATAATGTACATAATAATTTTTGTTTCAAGTGTTATGTTCATCTTCCGTCGACGTAACACTCAAAAGGGCTTCGTTTTACTTCCTATGTGCAATTTCTTCAAAAAAAAAACACGAAATCGTCAAGAAGAAGTAAATACTACTATATAGTTTCAAAACATAAAATATTAGAGACGGAAAAACATTGAGCATAACTTTAAATAAATAGAACGTGTATGTACTCCTACCCATAACTCTTTTTTTTTCTTCGTACAATTTCATAGTGTTGTACACATAGAAATGATCAAAAAAAATAAAAACTACTATAGTGTATATATTTTTGCGCTTATTTCATTCCATTCATTCACTCCACACTATTTTGAATGTATTTTTTTTACATTTTCTGTCTTCATTGAAATTTCTCACAGCGAAAATATTTTTTTTTTTCTTCTTTCGACTCTCGAGAGCTCGACATACAAACACACTGACTCACTCTTAAATGCACAGATACATACACGCACGTGCTAGTGAGGCTTCGGGGCCTTCGGAGTTCGGGCGATTGAGAGGCAAAGTGAAAAAAAATAATGAAAACTTTTTCATTTTAGTTCTTTTTCTTTTTTGGCCGTGTAAGCGCGCAGAGCGGCTCGATTCTCCAAGATTATTATTATTTTTTATATATAAAATTTTATTTAATTTTCACTATAGTTTTTTGTTTGTTTAAATTTGCATGCAGAAAAATTTTTCTCCTTCCTTCTTGTGCGTTTTTTTTAAGTTCGCTTTTATCAACCTTTAAGGATTCTTGAGTTAGAATAATATTATCAGCTACGGGATCACAGTGTTGTGTGTTAATTGACGAATAATAAATTTTACCACCAAAAAAAAAAATAATAATAATAATAAAGGAATTTATTGTGTATTTACAATTTAATTTGAAAACAAAAAAAAAATAAGTTAAGTGCCAAAAAATTATTAATCATGAAAATTTCATCGCATATCAGTTTTGACGCATAAGGAAGCGATACAATAAAAAAATAATTCGGACAACATCAAACGAATGAAAAAAAAAATTAGAAAGAATTTTAAAAATATAAAAAAAGTTAAGTGACAATTGTTGGAATCATAAAAAGAAACAGAGAAAAAGTTTAAATAAAAAAACTCGTGAGCTGAAACCTTCACATTTTTAAGAAAAAAGAAAGAAAAAAAAAACTTTTACTTTCATTTAAATTTTTTTTAACTTCACATAATAAACGATTTTGTAATAATATAAAAAAAAACCTTTTTTAACACGATTGTTAAGTAATTTGGAAGATTTGATGGTTACATAAGAACTCAAGCAGAGAAAGAGAGTGAAAGAAAGAGCTTTCAGGCTGTTGTCGTATTCATCATCATCATCACTGCCGTATTGAGACATTACAGAGCAAGTTTTTCTCTCGAATGATAAAATGAAAAATGGTTAAAGGTTAAATTGTGAGTGTTATAAGATCGAGCTGTACGAATAATCATTAAAATCATACACACATTGCGAGCTCAAAAAGAAAGGAAAGTTTTTTTTTATGAGAATATTGCAATGATGGATTCAAAAATATCATCTAAAATGAATTGTGTTTTTATGACTCATATCTATAGCACGTTAAGTGATAAAAAACATTCATAACAATATATTTTGAAGTGAGAGGCGAAAAAGTAAAGAATAGAAGAATGAAAACAAATGTGTAATTGATGTGACGACACTAGACACATAGAATACGATGATTCTCAAAGGTTGTAATACGCAATAACAATAAATATATCCAGAAAAAGAGAATAAGAAGACGATAAACAATTTTACGGATTAAAATTCGCAAAGAAAACAAAAAACTTATTTTCAACAGAAAAACAGAAGTGAAGAATAACAAAATTTAAAAAAAAAAGATCGCCAAACTGCTTCAGACGTCAGCCTATTTTGACGGAAGACGCATAATTGTAATATCTTTTTTATCGTTTATTTCTTGTGACCGCGGACACAATAAAATCATTCACATTGGATCACCAAGCAGGTGAGTTTTTTTTTTATTTCCATCATTATCATAATATCCAAGGCAGTGTGCAGTGTTGTTCAAATTTACATCCATAAATTTTCTTCTTATCATCCTTGATATCAAAGAAATTCAATTCAATAAAAAATAAAATGAAATTCCATGTTTGAATAACACTGACACATCATGCCATCTAGCGGTGCTTGTCGATCAATTGGGAAACAAACATTGATGAATGTCAAAATTTCACATCCATTTTACAAAAATAATAAAAGAGAGAGACATGCATTTCTAAACTCAAATGGAATAAGAAGAAGAACATAAAAATCCATTAACAAGAATAACGACAAAAAGTCATAAAACTTTCTGTACAGAATTCTATTACCATCCCGAAAAAAAATACATACAGGCACAGTATGCAGAGAAAAGAATGGGAAAAATGAAAGAAAAAAGAAAAAGAAGCAAAAAATGAGAAAGAATGTGAACATGTCCTTTTTTTTAATATTCAATGAACCAATCAGGAGCGAGAAATGTGAGGGAGAGGAAGTATTGTATTTTTTTTGGAAATGGGAGAGTGCGTACACAAAAGGCAATAGCTGATAGAGACGACAAGCAGTCATAAAAATCATATGAAGACTCATAAATTATGCTGAAATGACATTTTTCGTTTGTTGGAACTAAATTTATCATGCCTAGTCGATATACTTACAATGAAGTTATCTGTTTCTCATAAATATCAAATTTAATGAAATGCTTTTCTATGCCTAGACATAAATGAAATATTTTTATGAGCATTTTAAACAAATAAAAAGAATTTGTCATTAATTCTTTGATTTCTTATGCTGCTGATGCTCATCCTTAAAAGAATTTAATTTCTTTATTTTCGAACAAGCTACAAATTTCATATTTTTTTTTCTGTTCACTTCTATCCCTCCTACATAATATTATTAAAACAGTCTTTTTTTTCTGTTTTCTCAATAACTTGCAATATGTATTGCATTGGAAAGGAAAAATAGCTGCAGCAGCAAATTGAAAGGCACAAAAAGCATTTTACTGTTTTCTGTTATGGAAGTTTTTCAGTAATATTGTGAAAAAGTGTTAATTTTTTGCTGCAGTTATGCAATTCTTATTTAGTACGACTTCATCGACTTTAATTTTATGTTAGTTGAAGGTATTTGGTTTCAAATTTTATATATATTTTTTGCAATGAATTCTCATTTTATTTTTTTTGTCAATGATTGCACATTTTTGTGTCAACAATTCCTAGATTTTCAGCATTTTATGTGCAATTATAAAAAGTTTATGATTTCATTTTGAAAGTATTGAATTAAAGAGTTCTAAAATTTCATGGAAAAGTTGAGCATTTTGTGGGAATTTTTTATGGTGTTGGATGTAATGTAGAATAACAAATGCTATTAATTGAGGGTAAAAATTTAAAATATTTCTAACATTGCCTTTTTTGGAAACCATGTAATTAGTTAAAGGCTATCTTGTAGTGGAATGTTTATAGTTATGGACATTTGAATGAACAAACTAGTAAGGTGCAAGGAAATATTTCCAATTTGTGTTATAACATTGACAAACTTTCACAATTTCCTCAAAAAATGTTATTTAACAAAATTTCACGAAATCACAAAAAAAACGAAGATTGATAAAAAGGTGTTAATTCATTGCATTTTGTTATTTCTTATCTGATTACATGCACTTCCTCTGAAACACTCAAAATACTCAGATAAAGAAATTTGATATAAACAGCGTGAAAGCTCCATGCAATTATCGGTCTTTCACAAAACTTCGAGATTATCTTTCTATTTACAAAATGTTGTCTGACAAAAAAAACTTTCAAAATTGTGCCTCACGTAATCACGAAAGCAAAAGCAAAAGAAATTCAAATTTGCAACCGAAAGGGCAAAAAAACCTCAAATTGTGCGACATTAAAGAGATTATGACAGCACATAATCCATCTTAATTATGAATGATACAGACACAAAAAGTAGAACAGTGCAAGAGAAACTCTCACCTCAACATTAAATCGAGTACATTTAGCCTTTCTCAATACAAAGAAAATTATGTTCATAAAGGTCTCATAAAGTTAACTCTTTTTTGAATTTTATTTGTGTACACATATATTGCATGAGCACGACAGCAGCAACAAACGACGTCGACGATGAAGAGAAGAGAAGAAAAAAAAAGTTTCATTGTTTTCCAGACCGTAAAAAGAAACATAATTTCAAAAATTATGCAACATCATTCATAGTCACATGAAGAAATTTTCATTTTCTTTTTTTTTCACACGCAATAAAACAATAAAAGTAATCCAAAAAGCAAGAATTGCAAAATATCGCTTCATTTCTCAACATGAAGAAAACAAAAAAAATAAATGTAAATGTAGAAAAAATGAGCTTTTGCAAGTTGTATAGTCTCTTGCACAATCTTTTCTTTTCTTATTTTCATTATTATTATTTTAAAATGCCTTCGTAGCGAAAAATAAGAAAAAGATGCAAGAAGAAAAAATTGCAACAAATAGAAAGAAGATCTAAAAAATTCACTGTCTCAATCTTTTTATTTTTTTTTTCTCAATGAAATCTTAATGAATGAAGCAAGAAAATGCAAATAAGAAGAAGTTTTATCGACGATTTCTTTCTTTCAGCGTAAACAGTTCATTGAGAAATATGCGAAAAGTTGCATAAAGCTGTTTATTTAAGCGCATTGTTGAATTGGTTCAATGAAACTTGCTGTTTTCTCTTGCATTAAGGTTTTAACGGTTTTTTGAAATTTAAATGTATCACGATCACTGAATAAATTAAAAATGGAGAAATTATCTCACTTCAAATTGATTTTTGTCAAATTTTCTTCAAATAAAGACAATTTCTTCATATTTCATATTCCACGCCTATCAAAAAGATGGCACCGATAATCCACAAAAAAACATAACTTTCCAAAATGCCTAATTTGTAAATTAACATGATAAAAATCATTAATACACTCAAAGTGTACACAAAATCACAATTATCACAATAAAACATGCTAGAAATGTAAATAGCTTCACCCAGTTAGATGATAGTTAAGCCAGTACGCACCTCATTTTTGTAAATCTTTTACTCTCACTATTATTCTGTGAACTTTTTTTTAAATTTACAATGAAAATGAAAATGTTGCATAATCCATTGAGAGAAATGCCTCTCAGTTTCATTATTAAATAATTAATAACTATATACATGCAAGTGCATTAACGCCACATTTCGACATTTTCATTTACTGGGTCAATCTCACTCATTGAAATGATTTCATTTAATCACATTTTGTAAATGAGAAAGAAGAGAAAAATATCTCATCGGCAGCCAAAAAGACTCTTAATTGTGAGTAAAGTGAAAGAAACGTGAATCATTCATGCAAACAGGGAAAATAATCGCGATGAGATCGCTAGTCAAGTAATTAATTCATTCGACATGAACCTACATTTGCAAGCTTTGAATTGCAGTCGATTTGATTGAAGAAAAAAAAAAGCTTAACGAGGGCAAAAGTGAACACAAAAAAATGAAGAAATTTTTATAGTAAAGGTTTCCACTCGTCGATTTACCGATTGCGCTTGACTTTTACGGTTTGCAACTATGTGTAAATGTAGGTGAAAATTCAACTCTTTTTTTCCAAGCACTATCTAATACCAAGACATTCGAAGCCAACTATAATAAATTTGTTACTGTTTTTCTGCTGCCTGCCTAAGTTGTTGCTATTGTGGTGTTGTGTTGTATGGACTTCTTTCAAGTGAAATATAAAACAAAAGTTGCATAACAAATAATATTTATTCACTCTCAATACTATTTCTTTAAAGCAGACACGAAGTCAGGAGAAGCATAAATGCTGATTGATTAACAACAGCCAAACACAAAAAAAAGAAGTTTTTTTAGGCAATATTCGATACATGCGGAAGTTTTTTATTTTCTTCTTTTCGTTTTCTTTCTCACATTCACGCGACATAACGAGTATATAATGTACTGACTCGCATATAATTTAAAAAGCCGAAATTAAAAAAAAATGAAATAAAACAAAAATCCTCGTGAAATACTGACCTTCGACGACGATTACATTACGCACATATGAAATGAAATGAAATAACATATTATGTGTGGAGAAAATATTAAGGCACTCCACGTCTTTCTTTCTTTCTTTCTTTCTTTTTTTCACTTCATCATAAAATGAAGCATTGAAGGAGAAAGAGATGAAAGAAAGAAGAAGCAAAAATGACCCAGTCACAAAAAAAAAAGAAGTAACAGCATGGTCCATCATGAAAGTCGTCAACGACAACAGCGATGAGATAAAAAATAAAGTTTCCAATACAGCTCATTTTCTTCCATGTGTGTCACATAAACTGCGCTAAAAAAAATTGAGTGAAAAACTGGTTTTCGAATACATAATATTGCATATTTTTAAAATACATAAAGTTACTTCATACTTCGAACTGAATGGTATAATGTTATAAAAAAAAACTTCACAATAAAGCATTGTGTATATTGAAAACGAAATTGAAAAAAAAAATACTTTCACTAACCTAGTTTTTCTTATACAATAATAATATTGTGCTATAGAGCGTCAATGTATATACATATAAATTTTATTTTTTTTTTATTTCCAACTCTCACTATTCACTTCATAATGCGCCTCTCTATTCATTCAGATTTGAGCACATTTGAACTTTTTTTTTATTTCTTGCGTTGTTAATTCAGCTTCATTGCATAGCTGCAATATATCACGCTAGTTACTCAATATTGCACATACATTTACTTTTATACTTCTCCTCTCTCACTCACTCACTCATTTTCATATTCTTTCGTAAATTGCTGCCATATAGGCAATTTATATGCGACACAACATATGTAAAAGATTGGCTTTAAAAGCATAAATTTTTTTTAACATTTAATAATCTGCCTTCACACAAAACAAAAAATCGCTGTTGTTGAAATTTTATTAAATGGAAGAATTACGAAATGCTTGAAACAAAAAAAGCATAAGAATTAAAAATG